TACGGTAAATTCATAGAGCTTTGCTCCTCTCCTTCCAATGTATTATTTTGTCCTCTTCAATACAATCTCACCTACCTTTTGTTTTACTTCACCATACTTCACACCTTTGAAAACGTATGTCAACTATAAGTTGTGTGAGTTTTATACGTGAACTATCACTAAATGTTTATCGAAACACATCTAACTGTCATTGTTCATTTTTTTCAATTTGAAATATCACAATTGTTCAAATAAGAAAACAACAACAATTGATAGTTAAGGTGTGTTTCGATAAATATTTGATTGATAAGAAACACAGACACATTATAGTTCACTCATAAAACTTAAACAATTGAGATACTTTAATTTTAAATGTATTTTTGACCTTTGAACTCCAAGTTGAATTTTTTTCCCTTTTAATTCTTAACTTTAATCTCTTCAATATTCCAAACCCCAAAGACTATAATTTTTATTTATTTATGTTAATATAATAAGATATATAGTTTAAAATAGGGAAAAGGGTATGATATACCCCTCAACTTTGTCATTTGGAGTTGAGATACCCCTCGTTATAAAAGTGGCTCATATATGCCCTTACCGTTATACAAACGGCTCTCATATACCCCTGTCGTTACAAAATGGCTCATATATACCCTTTATTTAACGGAAGTTAAAAAATTAGTTTTAAATTTATATTTATTACTTGCAATTTTTTTAAAAATTATTTAGGGGTATATATGATTCTTCTATCAAAGTTCAAGGTATATCTTAATTTTTTTCATATATAAATTATTTTTTGACTTTTTTTTAATAATTATTTGAGTTTCTTATTCTTATTTTTTTTGCTTTCATTCCTTAGTTTAAAAAAAATTTAAACTATTTTGTTTGTGTGTATTGTAATTTAATTTCGTATTTGAAGAAAAAATTTGGTCATCTACAATAAGTTTTACAAGAATATTAGTGAAACATAAATAAATTTGATTATCAAATAATAATTATAAATTAGTCATTGAAACAAAAAAAGGTCAAAAAATATATATTTGACGAGGATTAAATTTACTCATATGAGATTATATTTTTTAGAAAAAATAATAAAAATTTAGATTAATTTTTTTTTCATTTCCGTTAGAGGAAAAGGATATATGTGAGTCATTTGTTTACAAGTAGGGGTATATATGAGTCACTTTCGTAACAAGGGGTATATTAACTCTAAATGATAAAGTTGAGGGGTATATCAGACATTTTTCCTAAAAATCAAATTACAAGTTGCCATAAGTGGCAGTATTAAAGCAAATTATGAAAAGGTGTTCGAGTTTAGTAAAGAAGCTGAACGGGTACAACTTACAAGTACAACAACAAGGACATTTTGTAAAAGACATTGTATATATATATATAAAAAACTTAATTTTAATTAGTACTATATTAATGCGAACTTCTTTTTTAATTTAATGATAATCAGTGTGGATTTTATAATCCAATTTTTTTTTTAAAAAAATAGAGTTACAAATGAAATGTGCAGAGAGTAACGATTATGTACATCATACAATTAAATCCCATTTGAAGATCTTACAAGAGAAGACGTCTCAAATTCATTAAACATTTTTTTTGAAATTAAAACAAGGACATGGCATCAAGAGTATCATATCTGAGTTCATATATAGGAAATCATTGACTTTTACTTAAACTTTATGTGTATGTATCAACACACTCACAAAATATCTTGAAATATTTAATTGTAAACTCAGTTAATATTGTATATTAACTTGAGATTGTTGTATGAACTCATGAACTTCATATCATGAATCCGCCTCTGTATAAAGTGAGTTGCTTGTAGTATATTGTTGTGATTATAATTAATATAGATTCCATATAGCTAAATTCTCCTTAATTATTCCAAAAAAAAAACATTGTTAGTATCATCCAAGCATCAAGGTATTTTCGTTGAGCAAATCTTCACTCTATATATAATCTTTGTTTCTTTTTGCTTTCTTCTAATTATTAATTAAAACAAAGATAAATAAAAAATGCAGTCCAATGATTAAGAACCCTGGGGTGTTAGGTGTGGGATATATTATTGAACAGTACGAAATCTACGGATGATATTTACATGCTATATGATTTATTCGAGGATGATATTTACCAAAAACTTGAATTCAAATTTTGTGATTAAGAGTGAAACAGTTTTATCACTGTATGACAAGCTTTTGCACCACAATCCATGTTACTCTCTCCTTTCGATATTGTTTGTCATGTTGTGCTTTTCAAAAATCAATTTGACTAATTTTCAAAGTTAAATTAAATCACATTAATTTGATATTTTAAACAAAAAAATTAGATATTGTAAAACTATATGAAAAGTATTATCCATTGCAATTTTTTGCATATTAATATGATGAAAAAAATACATCTTAAAATATTAGTCAAAATTTTTATAATTTAACTCTAAAAATAGAAATTATGACAAATAATACCGAAGAAGGGGAGTATTTTATTAACATTATCGTACAAAGTATCAAGGTGTTGCCTGCCTAAGTTTTGTGTTGTCTTGGGCAAGTATCACAAATTTTTTTTTCTTTTCAAGTTTTTGTTGGCGTTTTCTTCTGCTTTGTAAGTATCTAATTTCATGCCAACATTTTACCTTATCACGTTTCTAATTTATTTGTGTTAACTTTGTTTTTCCCTTTTTTGGTCACTTTTTAATTTTAACCTTTAATATGGTATTTTAAAATAAAAAAGATTAAAAATCATTTTGACATATTCTACCAATTTTTATTATACTTTTTAGAAACTCGAAATGATGCAATCAAATAGAAAAAATCCACTGGTTAAATAGTTGGCTTCCTAAGTACATAATCTTGTTTGTTATCTTTTAAGAGATACATTGGTTTCTTCATAAACAAGTTGGGATATTCCTCCATAAATAGCTTCACATCGTCTCTCTATGCCAAACACCACCTTACTACTTACAAGCACTTCCTTAAAACATACAGAAATGGCTATCAGAATATCAAATAAGCTATCACAAGCTGCAGTATTGAAGCAAATTCTTAAAAGGTGTTTGATTTTGGGCAAGAAACAGGGCTATGATGATGTACATCACCTTCCCATCGACGTACCAAAAAAACATTTTGCTGTTTACGTAGGAGAGAATAGAACTCGATATATCGTACCTATTTCTTTCTTGAGTCACCCTCTGTTTCAGTGCCTCTTACAATGCGCTGAGGAAGAATTTGGCTTCGATCACAACATGGGAATTACCATACCATGTGAAGAAGTTGTTTTCCTAGCACTAACTTCGATGCTTCGGTAGGATATTAAATATCCAAATTCTAACCAACAAATCAGGCAATATTTCAAATAATAATTGTGGTATCTGTATTCATTGAAGTATTTTCTTTAATTTGTGAGTAAAAAAGCACCAGACTTTGTGGTGCTAAGACTCACATCTAACTAATCAACTATACAAGATGGAATGCATACAAAATTGTGAGACCTATAAAAAGATAAAAAAATAAAATTCTCAACTATATTTTTAAATCCTAAAGTGAGAAGTGATGTCAATGAAGATGTCCTCTGAGCAGGGAATCGTTACACCGCCCATTGGATGATCGAAGCCAAATTCTTCTTCTGCTTGACTAAGCAAGCCTTGAAATGAAGGCTGACTCAAGTATGATATCGGTATCACAAATCTCTTCCTCTGCTTCTCCCCAACATAAACAACAAAATGGCCCTTGGGAACATCCAATGATGTTGATGATTTCTTGATTATACGAGGAACACGAGTAGCCATGAGATGGCTGAAGTATGAAGAGAAAGAACTAGTTAAGATCCTGTAAGCAGTTTTTGTTGTGGTGGTAGAAACTTCTCAAAACAAGTTTATATAAGCAAATGGCAAGTCATAAAATCTCATTATTTGTGGTAAAGACAATGATATATCAATAACCACATGGTTCTGTCTTTCCAAAAGATTGACATATTATAAGTTCAACAACAGTTGGTCCTACCTCTTTCTCATAATCAAATCGATAGGATGAAGAAGTATCACATGGTTTTGTTGTCAAGTATTCATGACTTCAAGCCATCATGCCTGAAGATTAGCAGGCCCATTGTTTTTATGACAACTTGTCTGGTCCCTAATGTTAAGTCATTATGTAGGATCAGCTTTTCAGATTCAAATTATCGGAGTTATTTCAGCAAATGTAGAGAACATAAATGTTTACTCACTATCAACCTGTTCCAATGTCTTTATAGTTTCCATGAAGACTATAAATGGTTAATTCCTTCTCAATGAACATATTCTCACTGCAAGGAATGGTGAGACCACCCATTGGATGATTGAATTCAATAACGTTTCTCTGGAATGATTAATACAGTGTAGATACACTTTTATGCATATACGCGTCATAGCCATTATAATCTTTCAAACTTATATTTCTGTATGTATAATTCTTGTACAATAAAAATATATAATTAATGTATACTCAGTTTATAATTATTATCTCAAATAATTTAGTTATTCATTGAATGCATTGTATTCGCACACAACCACAAAAATATGATTAAACAAGAAAACGCTCACAAAAATAGCTCAAGTTTTTGCTGAGTGCTGTTATGGTAAGCCTTCTTTCTATGTGTTTGTATAGGCTAACATCAAGTTGTAGAATTCTACTGATTTGCATTGAATAGACATTATGTGGGCACCAGCTAAAGACAGTAGCACCTGAAGTATCACATGGTTTTGCCTTCCAACTCATTGCCATAATACTATTAATGCAAACTCTCATGTGTCCACTTATATCAAAACTATAACAAAAAATAAAATCAATCATATAGAAGATTCAACTGGTAGAGAGGCATTTGTTGTACTGTTGATTGACTATAGCACATGGTTTTGCTACTCAACTCATTGTCAAGTATATATGATCTTAGTCATTGCTCTTCAATATCAGAAGTCCCTACACCCCAGTGATTTTCAGGACAAGATAGAGAACTGAAGATTTTTAGAAATCAATTTGCTAACATTGAGTCATTATCAACAGCAGGATTTTATGAGTTTGATCAGAATGATAATAACAGGTAAAATTTACTACCATCTGACCATATGCTTAGTCCCTCAAGCTAAGTCATTATGTAGGATCAACTTTCCTGATTAAAATAAACCAACCCATTCAATAGATTTTTTCTAAATGTTTCCAAATAGTAGAGAATAATATATATTCTTTACTGGCTATCTCTGTCCATGTTATGCAAATCTCCATTAAATTATTAGTCAGTCAACACCTTATTATTGCTAGAAATTCGAGTTCATATTCAAAAGTACAGATACTATTTCTTATGAAGAGATCATAAAGTGTAATTATCATTTTTACCAATTGAATGAGGTATGCCACTTCAGAGGACTAGATTGTAGTTCTTTCTGATTACAAACCATTAGAGTTGAGCATACAATTTCTATTGCAATGAATTGATTACATCAATGTATGGAAGTAAAAAGTTTCATTACTTCAATTTCTTTTGAAGTAGAAAAATGTGTCCTAGTCTAGCTATTGTTTCTTCTAG